AAGATTAGAGGTGCTACAAGAGAGTAACAAACTCAAAAACGTAGGAGGGGAGGTAAAGACGACAGATGTTTGATAGGAAAGAAGAAGCAAACAAATCACACCAGAGCACCCGCCAACCACCCACTTTTTCTTTCCCGCACGGTGTGGAAAAAAACGGGAAAAAATCGTAAAGGATATTTTTTTTTTTATACTTTATTACAAAAGATTTGTCAAATTTACGAGGTCTACGTGGGTGTCTGGAGGAGGGAATGCAACCTGAGAGATTGAGCTGGACCATCATCGTCATCATCATCATCACAATCATCATCATCATCATCTTGAATCAATATCATCATCATCCATCAACATCATAATAATACGCATCATCATGCATCAATATCATAATCATCATTCATAATGATCCTCATTATCAGGCATCAATATCATAATCATCATCACCATACATCATCGTCACTATCATCAATATCGTAATCTTCCAATCTTGCTTATAACAAAACAAAATGCACAAAGCCACGGACAAGTCTGTCCCAGGAATGACGAGGACGGGTGGGACTCAAACTGATTCCCTTCCACACACACGCAGCATAGACGACATGTCCAGTCCTTGAATTGTTCATAGTTGCAATATCCAGACGATAAGTGGAAATGACCTTGACCTTGATTGTCATGGAGTAGGCTGGGGTCAAACCCATTCTTTTATAAATCACGTCCATCACTGGTTCTGTTGAAAGAATAGAGGAGAGAGATACAATAGAGGGATACAATAGAGAGATAGAATAGAGAGATAGAATAGAGAGAGATAGAATAGAATAGAGAGAGATAGAATAGAGAGAGATAGAATAGAGGGGAGAGATAGAATAGAGAGGAGAGATAGAATAGAGAGAGATAGAATAGAGAGAGATAGAATAGAGAGGAGAGATAGAATAGAGAGGAGAGATAGAATAGAGGGGAGAGATAGAATAGAGAGGAGAGATAGAATAGAGAGGAGAGATAGAATAGAGAGGAGAGATAGAATAGAGAGAGATAGAATAGAGAGAGATAGAATAGAGAGGAGAGATAGAGAGCATCTGTTACCTTCTACTTCCGTGTTTCTGACAGCCAAGGTGTCTAATCTCTGTATTATGCCACTATGTCTAACATCTGTATTATGCCACTATGTCTAACATCTGTATTATGCCACTATGTCTAACATCTGTATTATGCCACTATGTTCTCTTCATTAAAAAAAAGAAAACTACACATGTATTGAAATAACAGAAGACA